GGTAGCTTTCATGCAATACTTCCCCGTGAATATCAGAAATGAATTCAGTGTGTATAAAACAGATCTGAGCAGCATATGGAGTCAAGTACTTCGAGCCTCATCCTCGATACATTTCATGCATGTTTTCTGATAAGGACCGTGGTTTAAATCATGCATACCAATCATAGATATAGTTAAATTATAGATAGATGTGAATATCATATTTAGAAATAAAGAATAGATAGATGGAGATCACAGCTAAATATAAATAATATATACATATATCACTCGTAACTATTTCAGTCGCAGCAGCAGCGAGTCGCCACCACATGAGACCGATCCGACGCTGCGGGATGGGAATGCAACTCTGATCGGCACAGCCTGGATTCCTATTCCGGTGGGAATTTAGAGGGGATCTCCAAAGCTTAATTTTTCTATTACTGATTGTTAGCTGAATGACGCGGACATAATATACGTTACATATCTTTCCAACAAGAGCAGAAATTATTGTCTGAGGGCACAACGGAGTATATGTTGAGTATAGCGTAGTAACACTGAACACAGAATTATACAAAGAAAAATATTTTTACAAAAATTGGAGAGCAATCCATCATAACTTTTTCCGATGAAATTCCCTCCAGAGTAGCGACAGCAGCAGCCGCCAAGCTTATCAACAGCTTGGGAAAGGTGTCAGTGGTGCATCAGAAACCCTAACTCGAAATTTTGACCGGCCGAAGATCACTGCGGAGCAGAGTAACGCAAAGAATATCATCCCGCACAACATTCTAAGATCAAATGCTGATGTGACAGTGGGCTCATTCAAGAACAAGAAGAAGTCATACAAATCATTAGGAAAATTGCTCCCTATTTTTCATAAGTCTAAGTCTCCTAGGCGCCTGGACACACCCGGTAGCACGATGCTCGAATCGTCCCCGAATTACAGGGAGATGTCCCTTGTTAGTGGTGCTTCAGATAGAAATAATCCGCATACATCGAACAACAACAATGGCTTAGAGACTAATGAAGTAGAGATTTGGACTAATTCTTATGAACTTGGAGCGATACCGAAAAAGCAATACGCGAACTCTAATGACAACTATAATGATCATCACGACGGATGCGTCCCTTCAAACACCAGTGCGTTCGATGGCTCAACCGGACTCCCGTCTGTAGTGAGAGATGTTAAACTCATTACTGATGAAGTAGATGGAACTTTGAAACTCGGCTTCGACTTGAAGTGCTACACTACCAACAGGACACCAAAAATATTTACCCCTAGAATTCTTTTATTTCTGTCATTTACTTCAGAAATTCGCGTGAGTTGAGTATAAATTATTGAGTATGTATTGATCTAATAACTTGTTATGAATTATTTCTCTATCTCTAACTAATTGAATCGATGTATTACTTTTTTGAGTGAAATTTGAAGACATAATATCTCTTAAAGGATGCGCATATATATTTGTTGACAACACTAAGTTAATTTATTATAGGTAAATTATCATTTGAACCATCTTTCAGGACCGCTGCCTCACTCCACTGAGCATACCATTCACGGGGCTCGTTTCTGCCCCACTGCAACCGCTCCTGGAGAGGCTAAGAGTCGAGAGTCAACTTCCTGATAACGAGTGGGCTATCTTGCAGCTCCAGGTGCTATTTGAGCTGCTGTCTTCGACCAACATTGCTGCTCAAGTTCACACTCCTATTTGTTTTTGTTCAAATTCTGTAACTCAACCAGGAACTTCAATCAATTATGTACGACGACAGGGTCTGAATTGTGAATCAGATTGCTGTAGTTGCAAAGGAAAACATGATTGTGGATTAAAACAAGACGAGAACTCCTTTCAAGAATGGTGCGCAAATGCTGGTCGTGTGGTTGACTTTAAATATATCATGGAAATGTTCCAGGCAGCTCATCTAAAGTCTACATTTGAAGAGGTGACTTGTCAACAGCAAGACAGCTGTAATTCGTTCAACTCATGCTTGTGCACCTACACTCATGTTTGTAAACACTTCTCACAAAGATATTGAAATAATTTTTTCTCGTTTATTTTTATATTTCTCACTTGAACTCGACTGGAATTAACTTCGGGTTCTTCTAATCAGGGTGAAAATGGTGGCGCTATTGATGGGCTAATAAAGGATTGGCTGACGCTGTGTCTAAAAATTGTAAGCGGGCTACACACAGCCTTTCCTGTCACATGTTCAGAAATTTCTGCGCTACAATTTGGAAATTTTATAAGGTAAGCTGGAGTTTTGCTTTCATGTCACGTTTTTTTGTTGTACCACAATCGTATATCAATTAGCTAGGATAATATTCAACAAATCTCAGAGTCATCCTTCAACGTTCAAAGAAAAAGAGAATTGGATGCTAAAATTTAGTAATCTGATTGTTTACTTCCAAATTTTTTCATGTTACAGGTTACTGAGCATCCTGATATCCAAGTTTGATGGGCTAGCGCCGAGAAAGACAGTTCTCCTAAATGCTAATCAGGAGACTCCGCAGCACGGAATAAGTGAAAATCAAAAAGATATTATTAATGGAAACAAGCACTCAAGAAGAACATCAGCAGAAGAGGTTGAGGCGAAGGTTAAGGTTCGCATTCAGAGGAACGAGAAACAGCAGCAGGCCGAGGCTATCACTCAAGTCGAGGACTGCACTCTGTGCACAGGCATGCAAATGCTCGTTGATTCTTTAATTGTTTCTGAACAAGCCTGGTTAGTATTAGTATTCTTTATTTATTTATTTTATTTTAGTATCTTTAAATCAGTTTTCACTGCTTGATATGTTCAGGAATATAAGGAGAGCTCGCAAAAACAATCTTAGACAAACAAGTGATAAATTTATTCACGAATCATTTTCTTTACCGCGACTTCGTTTCGATGAATGGCGTTCACTGTGATATTTTGCCTAAAATAATTCAATCAGAGTTATTTGAAACTTGATTTTCAAGTTATCTTTCACAGGTGGACTCAGAAGCTCGAGGCTTGTTCCAGTCGTACGTATTGGTTCTCACGATCAGCCTTCAGCAGCACTAATAGAAAAAAAGATGTCTCCGGCAATTCGATATTTTACATTGATTCCGAAGACAGCCATGCAACGTCGGCTTCGGCCGATGAAACTCTAGAGGCCATGGCAGGAATAACATGGAGTCTTTGGCAGCGACTGAGCATTATTTCTGAACTTATGTCGCCAGTGTTCGAGAGGTTGGTGTGCTACTAATGAACCTGCACGCAGACTTGATCTATATCTATGAATGTGATTTATTTCTAAGCTTTACAGTAAATTTAAGGATGTCATAAAAGTAAATGAAGTAAAAACATTGTAAATATCCTTTGATAGCCATATATTTCATATATAATTTTCATTGATTCCATATATTTCATTATATTTATTTGATCTCATATTTTCATTTTCTCTTGTTATTTCAGTGAATTGAATTTCTCGTACTTCATGGCCACGGTTGTTGCTCTGCACGACCGGTTCAGAATTTGGCTACACGACGGCATGAAAAATATTTATTTGGAAGAAGGCATTCCCACTGACGGTTTCCATGATGATACCATAGAAGACGATGGTCAAATTTATGCACATACGGTCAATGATGATAGTGATTCATTTGAATTCATCAATATTACGCGTTCAAAAGAGGCGATTAAGAGTGCTGGGGAGGGAGGCGGTTCTCGTGAGATGCTGCTGGGACCTGTCACAACTATGGGGCAGCTCTACAACAGAGTTAGGCAAATTTCCCGGTAAGAGTAGTTATTGTAAGATTTGTAAATTGGTAAGTATTTGGTAATTATTACATGATTATTCTGAATAATGCTAGGAATAATAATAAAGAATCCGCTACAATATGGCAATTCTTTATATAATTCAAATATTTCTGAGATTGATTCTAATTAAGGAATTGAATGCGCTGAACGACAGAAATTATATCATTAAGGGTTGTGCGATTTTTTCACCTTGTAAAGAGTAAAGCTAAGAAATGTTTTGATTAAATGCATGCTCATAAACACCTGGTGTAAATATATAGAATTTTAAACACAATAACTGAGTTATGGGCTTCTGATAAAGAAAAAAATGGTGTACAAATTTCCCTTACTGAACTTTTCCTTGCTGACCTGAAATGTTTCTTACCGTATGGCAGGCTTATAAGCTCACACGAGGAACAACCGGACAATGTCTTATTAAATCTTCTTCTCACAAATACGAATAATAAAGATTGCCGTCGAGTTTCTCCAAATTCTGATGTGAATTCACAAGAAGAGATCCCAGGGGGCAACCCTTTTCTGTCTCTGACCCTTGTGGGACGAACCCTCGTGTCCGATCTCAGGAAGTGGTTGCGTCCAGTTGTTTTGATGTCCATCAAATCTTACACGGAAAGGTCCGAGAAATTTTTAGTAGAGGATGAGCAACTCAGCGAGCTCAAAATGTTCTGTCCGGCTTCAACGTCCGTCTTCTCCGAAAACTTGTTCGTCGATGATATGAAACACTGTGACCCATCACACCCTGCAGAAGTTCCAGAACAAAGTTCTACGTCCCATAGACCTATGAAGACAAAAATGGATTCACCACGCATGCAGCCAGCAGGCATTCATAGAAACCGCTATCCTATATTCATTTCAGCGTCTGCTCTTGCTCTGCGTGACTCAGTAACTATAGTGAGCAACCAAATAAAATAATTTTTGCTATTTCAATTTTTAGAATTATATTCGAGAATGAATATACCGTTCATTTTAGAGTGTCTAGAAACCTAAATTTCGTTTAATTGATCAATATTTCAAGTCAGAACAGGTTTCTTTCAGTATTTCACCAATTCTTGTCTGTTCTCTTCTCAGTTGGTACAACATTGGAAACAAATCGACTGGGATGACCTCCACTACACGCCGACTAGAAGAGAGAGTTCGTCGGCAATTCCGGGTGATTGCGACAAGACTGTTAGCACTGATGAGAAGCCAGTTACATCACAATCAAAGCCAAAGCCGAATCTGAAAGATTTCTCCGAAAATATAATTTTCAAAAATAAATCTGACTTGAAAAGAAAAGCAAAAAATTTTAAAAAACACTTACGGAAATGTTACATAACACAATCCGACTCCATGAATGGGTCAACGACAAAACACCTCGCACATCCCTCTGATATAGGTGAATTTCCTAACGCAGGCCTCACTATCAGTAATTCAGTGGACAAATCAATGGATGAATGGAAAAATGTCACCGTTAATTCAGCCGAGTCTCTACAATCATCCAATAGGAGACCAAACCGATTAAAATCATGTGAAGAGACGTCAATAGAAGCATCAACGGCTAGTGGTCTCTCTAATAACTTCTCATCATCCTGGAAATGCGATGGAATAAATTTAGATATTCATGGTGATTGTACTTACGGATATCAGTCTGAACTCGACGATCATTTTTCAAGAAAATTCGACGACCCTAATGTGCTGTTTGTCACCGAGCTGTGTAATGTTTGCGTTCGCTTCTGCCAGAGACTTGAGAGTGAGCTGCAAGCATGTCTCTCATCTGATAACTGGAGAGATGCTTCATCTGTCGAAAAGGTTAGAAAATCTGCATTGGCGTGGTATTAAAAAACGAGGCAAAGGTCGTATTTCTTAAATTTCAGAGAAATTGGAGGGGTTCATTTAACTTATACGTCAAATATGTTCTTTTCCCAATTCAGACAATTTTTTTAACCTGAAAATTTTTAATGAAGTATATATTTTGATTTTTGTTTAAGAGAACTTCATAATGTATTTACTTGTTATCTAATCGAACATATTCAGCAGGTTTTTTTACAACTATAATTTCTACTAATCTGTCCAGGTGTGCGTGGGGTTAAACAATCTATGTGAAGCGGTTGCCATCATCAAGGGTGTGCCTCACGAACTGAAGTTATATGACTTGACTTGCGCCTCGGTCACGTCTGAGGCCACGCACACAATCCGGAAAATTGGCCATTGCATCCTGCGGCTCCTACTGCACGAGGTGTGGATTGTTCATGCTCACATTTTATCAATCACAGCGAATTGTTTAAAAAATACATGTTCCAACATTACGTGAAATTAGATATATTTTAATTTATCGCATCAAACGTTCATTTCCAGCATCACCAGATGGCAAATGGAATTGTCATTCAGTGTTTAACCGAGAAATGCGTCTCACCGCTTCGAAATAGCCTCCTGCAAAGAGACTTTACCGCCCTCCGTTGTATGGTGGCTCCACAATTCTTCATGTACTACAGAAATAAAGTCAAGATCAAAATTCACAGGGCACTCGCTAAGCAACAAATTCTTCTTGAACAGGTTTGTGTCATGTTGTTGTTGTATGGCTTGCATATTATGACATGCTGACGTAGTTAGAATCACTATTGACTTATGAAAAGAATTTACTGTAACTGTGCTCCAATTAAGACTAAATTATTGGTGTAAGGGGTTGAGTGCTTTTACCTGATAAATTTAGCATTGATGAAGAATTTTTTAATGTAATAGCCAAATTGCTTCGAGAGTTTCTACTCTAATTTATCCTTCGGAAATTCCTCCAGAATTCTACAGACGGTAAAACTTTCACAAAGCTTCAACGAGAATTCTACCGCCTACTCGCCGAAGATAAAACGTGTTAAAGTCCACGACGCAGGCCTCTATATGAACTTGCATGAACAACCGCAAGCATCGCGATAATGAGTATTCGGTCCATTTTTTTGTGAAGTATCTGCCCATCATCCCATCACATACCGGCAAATCATCTCACTCCATACTTTGTAAATAACAAGATTAAAATGTATCAAGGAGCCAAGTCAGAGGTTCGTGCAAAAATTAATTCAAATGAACAAATCCCTCGGGGCATTTTAAGCATGCATTTAGATTTTTTCAGATTTAAGTTAATTTTCTTCAATTCTTTCTATGTACAGTATATGAATTCGTAGTTTTAAATTTATTGGAGAGCTGCATAATTTTTTTTCACGGCAAACAATACTTGCACGTGGTGCATATGAGTCACCGAACCGCCAATTTTCAATGCAGTAGTATCAGTAATTCATGAACTTTATGTTCATTTATATCAGCGATCCACTGACATTATATAGTCAACACGCTACAAAACTAGTCGAAGATTTCTAGTCGGTAATTTCAAGTAGCCGGATACTGAATTTTATTAAACTAAAACTGAAGTTCATTTATTCACCAGAAAGAATAATTATGAATAAAGCACGACACAACAAAGTCTTCGTAAATAACATTATTCATCAAATATGATTACAAATATTAAAAATTTAAAGATCATAATAATTTTATTATAACTAATGTTATATTTTAAAATGATAACATTCGTTTTGCTCAAAATATTGACGTTATTTGTAATGATGCATTTGTGCTATGAAAGGAACTTCTAAACAAATGTCTTCAAAAAATTCGAAATAAAGTTCAGTCAACGATGCAGTTTTACCACTGATTATCATTTAAGATGCCTCTTATAAGTGGTCGTGTCTTAAACTTTTATTGAAGTTACGGTTTCTTGAAAATGACGGGCTTCACTTGCTGCACGTCATCGAAGTGTTTTGGCTTTTGCGGGAACTTGCGATCCAAAACCGGAGTCCGGTCGATTTTGCGGCCAGATTTTGCTTTAAGAAGTCCAGGATGCATGGACCTCATGCGGGCAATATCGGCCTGAGCTTTGGCTACTTCAGGACTTTTAATTTTTTCACCCTGAATCTTAAGAATTTCGGCTTGAACCTTGGGAGCCTCTTTAACCGTGTTCGAAATCTTCTCTTTGGGGGTTTCAACATGAGTATCCATGGGCTTCTGCTCGGCAGCTTCGAGCTTTTTCGGAACCTTAGTCTCATCTAGATCTGTTTGTGTTCTGTCCCCCATCTTTGGCTTGGTGATTTTGGTCTTAGAAGCGTCCTTTGCAGCGCCACTAAACGAAAGGATGTCATCGATCATGACCAGCGCCGCTTCTGGAGCGTCGATTGGTACCTGTACGAAAGTAGATAAGGTAATGGCGTTCAATGCACAGTAAATCCCCTTTATAATATGTTAATACCCATTATCTAGTCGGAATAATATTGTAACATTTCTAAATTTATGCATCCCAGGAGCACAACTACTTTGGATCAACATTGCATAAACTCGTAACTTAACTTACTTCACCTCATAGTCAGATCCATTTTAAAGAACATTACAATTAAACTAGACATCATTTCATTCCTAGGTTCTATTAGTCATGCTGGCAACTCATTTCATTATCGTGTTATCAAGAGAAAAATGGTAACAACGATAATTATGACACAATAATGATGGCGTGACCATATCGCGCTCACCATGTGTCCGGATCTGAGAATAGAGAAGACCGCAAAGTTTCCGGAGTGTTGAACGTATCCCGCGGAGCTCGAGTACGAGGGGACGTTGAAAGTCCTGCGTCGGGTGGCGTCAAACTCAGCCTTGCCACTCCACTGCATGTTCTCGATCCACCTGTATGTTCCTATTAGGAAATATACAATAGAACCATTCAAAATGCTGCTTACATGTATGAGAAACTGCTAAAGGAGTTTAGAACATGAAAGAGAAGCATAACATATTTTGACTGATAAATATTTGAGAAGAATGGGACTCTAGCAGGCTTGCATATAGATGCACTTATTGATTCAAACGCATTTCTGAATTTTATGTAAAACTCGACCCTCACCTGGAGTGTCACAGATCAGATCGAGATCTCCGGTGAAGACGGCCACGAAGAGATTGGTGGTTTCCAGCAGCTGCACGACTGTTTGAAAAGGAAATGAGTATGCATAATAAAGTGGTATTCTGTATTCCAAAAAAGTAGAAATAATTATTTTGGGAACCAAGTAGGTTAGAACAAAAAATTAATTGGTATTTCTTTGGTAATTCAAAAGAAAATAATCTGTCTTGATTTGCACCTGAATTTACGACGGGTTTCATGAAGTCTTCCGAGAGCGAGTTGAAGACGGCTCCTGACTGGCCGCCCCAGGTCACCTCAGCGGGGATGTTCCAGTGGGCCGCTTGAGCGCCGTTCATGAAGTCCCCTAGCGCATCCCTTGTCTGTATTCCTTCAACGTGCCGTTCGTAGAGACTTCCTGGAGGTTTGATGGTCACGTTTGTTTAAGTTTGGCTAGATAGAATTTTTGTCATTCATGAACGTTTTGTGTCAAAAAATGTTCAGTATTCAAGAAGAGCAAGGAGGTTCATTTTCCTAGAAATTATGCGGAGAAATGAGTACATTCCATCCTGCTCACAAATTTGTACATAACAGACTTGAACAACTCATGACGACCCTATATGACAATTAAGTGGAAATTAAACTCACGAACGGCAGGAGACATGAACGACAAGTCCCTGCTGTGCGGTTGAGCCATCAGGAAGTAGACATCTTCTTCTGCGAGGACGTTGTAGAAGTTTACGCCGCCAGTCTGGAAAAGCACGACGGTTTCTGTGTTGCTCCAGCAGTTGGTAGCGTCCAGCCATTGGCCGGCGTCGACGAGGGCTTGGCAGGACGCGGCTTGTGCGTTGATGGTGTCGCGGCCTTGTTCGTTTACGAAGCCCTGGAACAATTCAGAATTTGCATAGATATAAATTCAAAATAATGAACATAAACATTAAGCTGTTAACCCAATGTCGAGAATTTTCTTTTTACCAATTTTAATCAAAATATATTTACTCAAAAGTTACAGAACTCAAAAAAAAAAAAACTGTATACGAGGAAAAACACAAACTGTTCAAATGACATTTTTTGTAGAAGTATGCCAAGTAAAACAGGAGGGCAAATGTTCTCACTCAACCTATGACAAACTACTGATGCATCATTACGTAACTTCAGCTATTTAAAAGCCACTAATAATGAATTTTATGTTATCAAGTTGCTTGTAATACAAAATTGTTAGATAATTTGCACATTCATTATCAGCGTATTTAATGAGCTTTATATAAACAATTGTGAGGATAAATTGTTATTCAGTGACTGCTAAAGCGAAACAAGGCAAAAAAATCGGCTATTGCTGACGTTACATGTCAAAATTTAGCATGACATTTCCTAGATATTTTTAACTGGACGATAAAGGCATCTAATGCTTGCAAGATCTCAAAAGGTAGCCAATAAATCATGCGGTATATAATTGCTGACCATCGCGTAGAGGAAAGGTCCCCAGGTGTTGACGGAATCCATTGGGCTGATCCACGAATCGCCGAGAGACACTCCTCGGAAGTCGCTCACGATTTCACCGTTCCCTATCGCCTGGTGTGAATAAATGGAAGTAATATGAAAATACGTTTCAACGGCAGTTAAGTTTTCTCAGACAACAAATTCGAAAATTAATTTAAATGAAAATATAATTAAATTTAACGATATTGAAAAATAAGGGATATCATTGTTCAAATCACTCACCTGATTGAGTGCCAGTGCAATGTCGACCGCCATTTTACCACCGTACGACTCGCAGTAGATGTAAAAAGGCATTAGTGACATATCGGGGTAATCTGTGAAGACAGACTTGAGAAGAGCCACCATGTCGTCTGCGATTTGCTGATTTGTGCTCGTGAGGAGAGGCAGCGAGTCCACGTAGCTGTACCCGGAGCCGACGGGGTTGTCCACAAACATCAAGTTTGCCTTCTTGGTCTGAAATCGCGGATGAACATTGGAACTGAACCATTACTGACATTCACCGTTTAGGTTCACAAGGGTTTGATATGCGATAATCATTTGTTTCCATAACCCGAATTGAGTTGACCGAACTGGACACGGAAAAATTTCTGCAACCGTTGAATCCTTTCTTGACCTCTGACGAATAACAATAGTCCATTCCTGAGAAGATCATAGGAATTTCCCGTAAAAAATTTTCCTCATATTCTACGTAATTTCTCGATGTTCAGAGAATCACTCACCCAAGCTGTCTCTCTACGAGTGCCGTTTATGTAGTATGGCCCAAGTTCCTGAAAGTTTCCGTAGCCAACTCCAGAGGCTCCCGGTCCCCCCTGAAGCCACAGGATGAGGGGGTAGTCGGTCCACACCCCTGCCTGGTCGACGTGGTACGTCACCCAGAACATGTGAGCTCCGGGACGCACGTCAACGTAGCCGAAGTCCTCGTCCAGGGGTGCGGCGGCCCCTGTTGGGAAAACAATGGATATTCCGATTTTTGGGGCAGTAATATATTAAATTATGAATACAATAGGGCTTTGTGCATTACTACATTCAACTGAATTTTATTTAATTGCGGCTTGATTTTTGAAGCATACACTTGTTTTTATGCATTGCATCACTCGTTTTTTTTTAAATGCATTATATGACATAAAACTCAACTTTATGGCCAGCTTAAAATTAAGTTACAAGAATATTGTCGCGCTTCATCCAAAACTAACATACTATTATAAAATAAATTGTGTTCGATTTCATTCCTTATACTTCAACACTTGTACTCGCAAACTAAAACTCACCCAAAGCCAATATGGAAAGAAAACTTATGAGAACCTTCATCGCTGAATCTTCGATACCCAATGATGAGACGACAAGAGTGTTTTCTGATTTGCTCAGACCATTAAGTGTGTAACAAGGATCTATAATGTGCCTTGTAATCATTACTAAGTAAACAAGCCGTGGTCAAGAGGACCACTTAAGTTTAGAGGACCAAACAGGTACTCTCGGCCGTATCTTTTCGAGGGCGTTGTTGGTCCCTAACTGTATCGCGTAAACACATTCTGATAAGCGAGGCATAAACGCGATTTTCCTAGACATATTTATTTGGCAACACTTATTAGAATACTGAGACAACTGACACTGAATATGAGTAATACGAGCTGAATATGAGTAATTGCATGGGGCAGTGATTTGCCATATATTATATTAGGTAGCAAATTCAGCTCTATGAGATATTACTGAATTCAAGAGAAACCATTTTCTCAACAAATTCGAAATAGTACTAGTTATTTGTAGATATTTCTTGTATAAGAATGAATGAGGCTGCCTGTACCCAATTTGTTATATTCGCAGTTTCAAAGAGAAAAAAAGAAGCTCTATCGGTTTCGTAAAACATTAAAAATAACTGTTAATGGAACCAGAAGGCAACCTCATCATTCCTTTTATTTAGTCTAAGCAGATAATTTATTATCATGTGGTAGCCAGTACGTAATCATTTTGGTTTTATTCCTTCAAAACTTAATAAAATACATTTCTTGTTTCATTTACATAAAATGGAAAGGTATACTCATACACTATAACCATAACTCTGACCAACTCACACCGCGTGTGTTGCCCCTTGCTGAGGATTGAATCAAGTGACTTTAAGTCAATTTCACATGGAAAAATTGTGTGCACACAGCGAGGTATTATACCATTTTTTTCAATAGCTTATTGATTGAACGTATGAAGAAATGCTTTGAAAAACTATAAAATAATGCAAACAAACGTGAAATAATGCAAACAAACGTAAAATGACGCAATGATGCAAACAAACATAAAATGATGCAAACAAGGTAGTTGACAAGCGCATAATTATACAGGGTGTCCCAAAAAAAAGATACTCAACTTTGAATGGCTGTAACTCGAAGAGTAATAGAGTTAAAAAATTTTGTAAGGTCAGGATTTGTTCCCTATGTTTTTCTGTATCTCTCCACCAAAAATCAGACAGATCGATGTAGCCATAAGCCTTTGATAGAACTTTCAGTGACATGTGCTAAAATCGTGCTTGCGCAAAGTTCTAGTAAGATCATTTTGCATAATCATTACATTGTCTTGACATGTTTTTTTTTCGCTGTTTTATTTTTTGTATCTTTGGTGAGACAAAAACATGGCAATCTTTGGTGAGAGGCAATCATGACAATCTCTGGTGAAAGACAATCATGACAATCTTTGTGAGAGACAATGATGACAATCTTTGGTGAAACACAATCATGGCAATCTTTGGTGATACACAATCATGGCAATCTTTGGTGAGAATCAATCATGACAATTTTTGGTGAGAGACAACCATGACAATCTTTGTGAGACAATCATGGCAATCTTTGGTGAGAGGCAATCATGACAATCTTTGCTGAGAGACAATCATGACAATCTTTGGTGAGACACAATCATGACAATCTTTGGTGAGAGACAATCATGGCATTCTTTGGTGAGAGACATCATGGCAGTCTTTGGTGAGAGACAATCATGGCAATCTTTGGTGAGAGGGAATTTTAAAACCGAAGATTGCCTCTCACCAAAGATTGCCTTTCGCCAAAGATTGCCATGATTGTCTCTCACCAAAGATTGCCATGTTTTTGTCTCATCAAAGATAATTGTCTCTCACCAAAGATTGCCATGATTGTCTCTCACCAAAGATTGCCATGATTGTCTTTCACTAAAGATTGCCATGATTGTGTCTCATCAAAGATTGTCATGTTTGTCTATCACCTAAGATTGTCATGATTGCCTCTCACCAAAGATCGCCATGATTGTGTCTCACCAAAGATTGTCATGATTATCTCTCACCAAAGATTGTCATGATTGCCTCTCACCAAAGATCGCCATGATTGTGTCTCAACAAAGATTGCCATGATTGTCTCTCACCAAAGAACACCATGTTTTTGTCTCACCAAAAATACAAAAAACGAAACAGCGAAAAGAAAACATGTCAAGACAACGTAATGATTATGCAAAATGATCTTACTAAAACTTTGCGCAAGCACGATTTTTGCACATGTCACTGAAAGTTCTACCAAACGTTTATGGCTACATCGATCTGTCTGATTTTTAGTGGAGAGATGCAGAAAAAAATAGGGAACAAATCCTGACCTTCCAAAATTTTTCAACTCTATTACTTTTCGAGTTACAGCCATTCAAAGTTGAGTATCGTTTTTTTGGGACACCCTGTATATGGCCTGTTAGATGCAGTACGTTGTTTGTGGTCGAGCCGCGTTGATAACGACTGTGCCGGTTTGTACACTGCAGTTCCGATTGGTAATTAAGTAGGAGCGTTACATAATAGGCTATTTCTAGCTTTTTAAAACCATGAACATTTTTATGTGATGAACCATAGATAAATAGTATACCAATAATAAATTAACCCTCACGATAAAGAGACAGACAGTGAAAGAGAGAGGGCAAAAAATTAACTTGGACGCCTATAGACTAGGCCTTCATTACTATTATTACCATCGATGGCAAGAATATGTTCTTCTGGCTCAAAAACTTCAGTTAGCCGACTATATTATGAGAGTTAGTGTGGATCAGTTTACAGTTACACAAAATATTACTTTGAGACGATTCAAGTTTCCAAAGTTAGTCCACGTAACATCGACCCATGATTCGCTGAAAACTGGTGTTTTCTGGACACAAGGATTGTGGCAAAGAATATGTATTTACTTGCCTATGGTATGACGTTAGACAGTTCTAGCATATCAAATCTCTTCTCGATCATTACTTATGCATTTTTCTAATCTTTTGGCCACTTGAGCTGTCGATGGCATTTGATTTGATATGGGCGCGAGGAGTTATGCGTTATCTGTGCACTATCAAGGAACAGACTCAACAGTTCGCTTCAAGATCAGTTCTGTCAAAAAATTTTGTCCAATTTTTTTTGCTTTTAAGGTTTTAAAGAAGAATTATTTGCATTACGGCTATAAAGAGTTTCAATGAGTCTCAATTAGAATATCGTATAGAACCTACGATAACACGGTAATAATAAAAACGTACAACTGAAACAAATCATTAAAATTTTAGATGCTCGTTATTATATAGCGTACAAATATTCTAATATAACAGGGTTGAAATTACAACCTACAAGATCGGAATGTCATGGTTCGGCTGCTGCAACAATGCCGGTCTTGTCTTACGTAGCATGACGGGGGAAAAAAGTTGTCTTTACTTTACCAGGTTCTTGAACTTATTCCTGCAATGAGCTTCACTTTATTCTCAACATTTCTCTTTCAACATTTGCTTATGGAGAAATATCGTATGATTCTGATTAAAATATTTAGGTCATGTTAAATTGAATAAGACAAGATGTTTCGCATCTTTTCCTCGCGTTATTTTCTTCCAAATAATGGCGGAAAAGTTTTCATTCACTAAAAAATTGTGTCTCTATGAATTTTTTTTTAATTTTTCACTGCACCACTTAATCTTACACCGGAAAGTAATTTACCAAAAAATTTTCAAGGTCCTCAAAATTTTGCAGTCAAATCTTTTTAGAGTGATTAAATTCTTCGTTGAAATGAATTACCAACCGTAATCCCAGCCATTGAATATCACGGGTCCCGTAATATATATTGAATTGAATATATATTGGAATAATATATATTTGATATATTACAATATATAGCGAAATACTATATATCGGTCACATTGAATATCACGGTTATGACATACATTAATTCCTGACAGTGCTGTCTCGTTCAGTCAAGTTTATCTCGCAGGTTGCAGTGGCGACAACGCATTGCCAAGTGCACGCAGTAGCTCTGGGGCCGCGTATTATCAAAACTTCGTAAGTACGCAAAATCGACTTACGAGTGGCGTTGCTATGACAACGTAATACTAGCGGTGGTATTATCAAAACATTTGAGCGGGAAACATTTGCGCGGGAAAAAATTTAGGCTTTTAGCTAAGACTTGCGTACGAAAGTTTTGATAATGCCAAAATTAGGGTGTATTTACGTACCACAGAATTTTTTTGTCGTAAGTACAAAAAGTTACGAAGTTTTGATAATCCGGCCCCTCAGATGAGCGCTTCGGAACTGATGGAATTAAGAGTACCATGCAAAGATTTATCATATATTAATTGTAACTGAGAAAAATAATAATGAACAAATTAGATTACTGTACATGGCACTTTTTTCAACTGTTTCTTTCAAAAATATAAATACCTGTGGTAATTATATCTCTGTATTTCTAAAAAATAGAATCGTTCAATGAACTTACGTTCATTTGTTCATTTCATAATATAAAATTTTGTAAATATATCTCTACTCAATTACTGCGATGGATTACCGCTCGATTTATTGCAATACAAACATATTTAATGAGCTTCCATTGTACCATTGAGCCATAGTCGAATTTGAACAACCACACAATTCTACAGAATGGCTGTTCAATTGCAAGCTCAATTAAGTGATCCGGTCGGTCTATGGAGATGACATGAAGATATATTAACGGAACAACGAACTCGAATCATGCCTTAGTTATAATAATTTTTATCGATATTCTGTGCCATACTCTCAAAACTCGCTAAGTGAACGTAAGTACTTACGCTCTATTTTCTTGTCTACGATTGGTGGATTTGGCTTGAAAGGCCGTCAATGATTGGCTGATGAACTTACTATCTCTTAACTTTTTTTGAAAGTATAGGCCCTGGGCCATTCCTTTCACCGGAGGACACTAGCATGCCAAAAATAATCAAAGATTTGTAGATACTGATCAATTATTAATTACGTGGTTTCATAGAAAATAGTTACATATGCAGACTACATCGGTGTGTTCGCAAAGCATTCATATGAGTTAGAGTTTCAATACAAGGGAAAGTGTGCTTATTATTTCAAAGTTTCTCGAAAGTTAAGGGTAAC